TAAGGGGGTCTGAATACTTTCCGTACCCACTGTATATATCACATATCTTTGTGTAAAGATAAAATGTTTAGCACTATGTCAAAAGGTTACCTTTTATAACTGATTTGGATGATTAAATTAATTTAAATTTAAAATAAAAGAAAAATTAAATAAATTTAATTACATTTAATAAAATATATTGAATTAAACATTTTGTTTCTCCAAAATATTACATTTGTTCTTGGGATAAAAAAAATATCTCAGATAACAAACAATTCCCTTTATCGGTGATTTTAAATTATAAATCTTATCCAGCAGTTTATGTCTACTCAATGTGATAGAAAATAGTAACATTACTTTTATGAATTATAGGCATATTTTTTTTATCGATCCCTTAATTTGTCATCTTTGAAAGAATCATACTAAAACATTTTAAAGCCTTTTTCTATTTCTTACAGAGAAGAAATACTTTTCAGAAAGTTCTATACTCCATGTAATAATACAACAATACATGTAGCTTTTCTGACCTCATATTAATTGAGAGAGTACATATTTATACTTTTCATTTGTCTCACTGCAGGACTATCTGAAATGAAGACATACAAATCGATCCATAAGAATGTGCATGCTTTCAATATTTCTCTCACAAGTATACGCTTCGCTAAAAAAATACAGAGTCAATTTACAAAAAGAAAGTCTGCAGTAAGAGTAAAGAAATGCAAAAGGAAAAAGAAGAATAAAACAAACATCTAGTTACATCACAAATCACAGCTGGGTTTTAATCCAGAAATGCTGTAATCCAGATTGGGACTAGAAGCCCCCTCCCCCCATTCCCACTCGGAGATGCCATTGGACGGGCAGCTGTTCGGGCCATCTGGGGCAGGCGGTGGGGGGTTGGTAGGGGAGTAATAAATTTATGCTGTCTGGAGGGGAAGAGAATGAGGGGGAGCTTATAAATCTACACTGAGGGGATGGACTGACAGATAGCTGGATGGAGAGATAAAAATGTAATATGTAAAGTGAGGCTGTCAGAGGGCCAGACGGACCAACGGAGGCTTGTACAAGATGTCCACAAAACATCAAAGTTCCTCTCCATTTAAAACAAGACATTTTTCCTACTAAGGAAAAAGGAATAAATTCAATTATATATGAATTCTTTATTTAGAATGTAAATAAGTTTGCTAAAGATTTATGACCCATGTCATGCTCCAAAATGCTCTTTCTATAAATAGATCATCAATGGAATTATACAGGTAATTAGTAAGCAACAAATTAAACAAGATGGTAACCACCTGATCGTCTGCACGTCTCAGGAGTAGCTGGATTTATTCTGCTACTGCAGTACCTAAGCTTGCGCCACAACTGCAACGTTCCTAATATATCTCCAACGCTCGCCAGCGCTGTGATTTATGGGCCGGACTGCATTCAGGTTATATCCAAATGAGAATGCTTCTGCTTTAGTGTTGAGTCAGCTTTGCCTCATGAGCCATCATTACTGCTGGCAATATAGAAACATTAAAGGAGGCACTATACTGTAAAAATTGATTTTTCGAAGATTATTAGAGTATGTTTTATAAGAAAATACTGTGATGTTCTGTCATGTTTACTTCAATGTTACTTGTTGTTTCTTTGTAATTAACTGTAAACCAATTTTTTATTCAGTGTATTTATTCTTTTAATTTGTATATTTACTAAGTATCTATACTAAACTATAAATCGATAGATTAATCTTTAAAACAGAGACTAATATAATCATTTTGATTTTTGAATCAGTTGATATTTTTTAGTATTATTTATAAGTGAAAAACAAAATCTAAATTCAAAATGTTTCCTTTAACAAATTTCTGTTTAAATTCTTATGTAAATTAACTGAATGCAACAGTTTACATAAGAATGGTTTTACATCTTATTTACAATACAAATACATGTGTATTTGCATTCAGAGATTTAATTTGAACAGTTTTAATTTAAATATGTATCTTAAAATAATTTAAATTAAAATAGGACTTGAGACCATGAACTCCAAATGTGAAAAAACCCAACCCAGCATCTACAGTCAAATCGTACAAAATATCCCAGAGCGCACCTTAATATTCTTCCACCAGTACTTGTTTTTCAGTTTAGCAGCACTGCTCTCAAACTGCGATGCTCCGGCCTGCAGCGCGTCCGCCCGGTCGTCCAGTTCTGATAGCTTCTGATCTCTTTCCAGAACCTTGTCCACATTCACACGCATGATATCAACCACCTGAACACATTTGCAAAAAACAGACACAGCAACTTAGCATTTAAGAAATCAGAGACATTACTGAGACAGCATCAGTGAGATTCAATGTGAAACTGAAAATCAATGAATAGAAATATATACGTCTTCATAGACACTTAACATTGGAAGCAATATTAGGATTAATATTACATGAGAGACTGACTAGTACCTCAAAATTTGATTGCATGTAAATTTTATAGTTCCAAGAAAGTCCATCCAAGAGTCCATCTAGCTCTGATCAATTTTAGTCTGCTCCTCTAATTTTACTGACTTCCTCACTGCTATAATTAACATTTTTACTAATATATAATGTCACATCCAATATATTAAAAGCCATAAAAAATATATACTGATCAGAATATAATATAAACTTGAAAAAGTGCAGTATTTAGTAGCTTTAGTAGACTTCCTTGAACCGCAGGCCTGTACTCAAGTTCCCACATTTAAGTACAGGCTACAGAATATCTTCTTCTGTCTAAATTTTATTCATGTTCTCATTTCTATATTTTACTCTTTTTAGAGTCAAGATTCACCTAGTCCAGCTTGTTTTTCAACATCATATTTGAGTTCATATTGGTAGGGTTTACCTCATCTACTTGGGCCTGTGTCTGTTGGAGACGACGGTTGCTGCTGAGGTTGGGAGGTTGGGCGCCTGGGCCCCCCTCACCCTCTGGGGCTCCAGGGCTAGCAGTGGCATCCGGGGCAGACCTGAGGGGAGAAGTGACAGGGATTGGGAAGGCACATTTTTTTGTGCCTTTAAGGCTTCCTCTGCACCACTGGTTCTGCATACACTCTTAAAAATAAAGGTGCTTCAAAAGGTTCTTCAAGCGATGCCATAGAAGAACCATTTTTGGTTCCACAAAGAACCATTCAGGCAAAGGTTCTTTAAAGAACCATCTCTTTCTTACCTTTTTATAATCTGAAGAACCTTCTTTCGCCACAAAGAACCTTTTGTGAAACAGAAAGGTTCTTCAGATGTTAAAGGTTCTTTATGGAACCATTTAGACCAAAAAGGTTCTTCTATGGCATCGTGAAGCACCTTTATTTTTAAGAGTGTAGGCTTAATAAGACACAAATTAATTAGAATTTGGCCTAAATTCAGCAGGTCATGATGCAGTCAAAGCTCAATAAAAAGCCTGACAGATGTGGGATAAGACAGTTTAAATGAAATTAGTCATAAAATAGCATTACATCACATTAAATGACTGGTGCTAGGGTGCACATTAAAAGGGGTGAGGTGTTCCCTGGGTCTATTTAAGGCTCCCAAAAAGAACAAAAATGCATTATAGGACCCTCAACCATGTTTTCAGTAGCTTAAAGTTATTCTGTTATACACTTGGAAACAGAAGTCGCGTTTGCATTGGGAGGTAAGTAGGC